TATACGTTTGACTGGTTTTTGGTATACATCCATTTTGAATTTATAGCCCCCCCTTGGAGAAAACTCCACCAGACGCTACTGCCTGTAAGTCCCCACAAAGTAGCATATTCCAACCGAGTTTTATCTCTAGCTTTTTACATCGACCTTAATATTTTGATCTGCTCTCACCCATGTGTCTGCCATCACTAAGGGCCTTCCAGTCCTCTGTTCAATCAGGGCCACGCCCAAATGCTAAATCATCAATCACTCTGCTCATAATCCTGTAATCCTGATTCCATTTGGTCCTGTTATCTTTATTTCTACATTCTGTGGTTCTTGTTTAAACTGTATATTGTTTGATCACACAAACTATACCATTAAATGACTTCATAACAGCGTTTTTCTTTAAAACTGGAATTAATGTTGACTTTTTTGGGATAGCCTCACTTCCTGAAATAGTAATTACTGTTTGACACATTTCCTTTATTACTGAGGCACCGACTGCCCTCTTGAAAAGGTGAGAATCACCATAGGAGCCAGTGGCTCTGCATTTTGTCTCTTATCTAATGAATTATCACCTCCTAACAGAGACAAACAAAGCTAATAGCTGATGGATTTTTCTTCAAACAGTTCCTTGTTTATTATTTTTTTTAATTCAGTTTATTTCTATAGCACCAATTCACACACACGTCATCACAGAACACTTCAAAGAGAAAATTCCACCAGGTGATCCAGTCAGATTGGTTCAAAGTTTTCTAAGGAAAACCAGCTGGTCGACTCAATGACTCTGTAGTAAGCCCTCACACTTAGCATGCTCGTAGTGACAGTGGAGAGGAAAACTTTCTTTAAACAGGAAGGAACCTAAGGCAGAACCAGACTCAATGCGAGCGGCCATCTGCTGAGGCCGACTGGGGTTCAAGGAGACAGAAGCGGACATACAGAAAGAAGCATAGATATAAAAGGCAACTGTCAACCAGCTCCACAGGCGATCCCATCCAGGAAACACAGCCAGGCAGACGAGCTCTGAGCCAGCTCCCATGTCAGAGGATGAAACAGAGCATATACAGTACGGTTAGGGTTGAACCAACAAATATTGCAGAATGGGAGAATACAGAAAAGTGGTCCCTGTGTCTTCCAGCAGCCAAAACATATAGCAGCATAAATATAGAAAATAGGATAACTAACTATTTTGGATGAGGTATATCTGACTGTATGACTTGGTTGATTTTGAGATGAAGTGGTGCTATAGAAATAAACTGAATTGAACTCAATATCAGGAAGGTAGAGCCAAGGAGAAACATCTTTCCTGTGACCCAGATTTTCTGGTAATCTGAAGTGACCTTGATCAGATGTTCTCCAGGCTTTCTGAGGGTTTCACCTAATTATCTGGTATCATTTTTACCCAGTTTTTGGTCCAAATTTTGTAGTTGTCCATTCAAAGAGGATTATTCAGGTTAAAGAGGGTCATACAACCCAATGGACAAATAAGAGCCATGTTGACACAACTAACTTTGCTCAGAATGGAGTTTGACTAAGATTTACCTGTCACAAAGACACCCTACCCTAATCTGAGAAACATCCAAAAACATCAAAAACCTCAACACGTTGGTCACCTTGTATACGTCCTCCAAACAGCAGGTGAGCTCATACTCCTCCACAGCGACCTGTGGGTGCTCTTCAACTACAAGAAAAAAAAATGGGAGAGGAGGTGATAAAAGCCCTGCAAGGAACTGCAAAAGGAATAGAAGAAATCATGTAGAAGAAATAAGTAAACCAAAATCCACTTCATTACTGTATAGGACATACTCCTAGGAACTACGTTCACACTGCATGCCTTAATGCTAAATTGTATATGATCTCGTGTGTTAATTACATTCATACACCTGAAGTTTCCCACATGTACAGTAGAGGATGCAATGACGTCACAAGCGAGCGTGCTCTGTGTTTATGGAAGTAAACATGCTGTAGCGCATCTAGCGAGCTTTCCCAACCTTAACAACACAATCTTTTCAAGATGGTTAAACATTAAGACTGCTCTATGCAGCACTGCCCACCATGCTTGTTGTTTTTCTTGCTGCTTCTGCGTGGCAAGATGGAGAATAGCGATCTTTGTCGAGTATTGATGGCATATAGGTTGGATGAATGTGATTTGGCCGTTCAGACAGGTTGAAATCATCAGATACGTATCGGATTCAGCACCACATAGCCAAGTGGCCTGGGTCGGCCCGGCGGTTTGCTCTCATATCAGCCCGGAGAGCAACGTCGGATATGACTCATATTTCCATGCAGCAGCCATTGGCTTGAAGTTTTAATTATCTTAGAGTGGTTCATGTCCTTTAGACAAGGAGGAAACCACTACAGCAACCAGTAAGTCCTTCAGTCTTTTAACATGAGAAGGTATACTGACCAGAGGCAGTGATGCACCTCTGCAGAGGAGCCAGCAGCGGGGTGAGAAGGTACTGCTGAGCAAAGCCGGGCCTTTCCTGCACCATCAAGAGCGCCGCTCTGGTGGCAACTCGCTGGAACTGCTGGGCCGTCAGCTTGTCTCGGAAGTGCAGGAGGTCAAGAATCTGAGAAACATCTGCTTGTTTTAGCAAGTGTTAAATTGAACAACTTGAGCCACACAGATAAATACCATTTCATAAACAAAACATGGCGTCATGGAAAAGACAGAAACTGAAATAAGAAAAGAGAAACAGAGAAATTAGATGTTCCCAAAGCTGTGCAACTGATTTCCCCTGATGACATCACAATGGGCAGGATTTTCAAACAGAGCATTTTGAGCACACATTAGATAAGAGGTGGACATAGGCAGTGAAATGACACATAGAAACTGTTTCTGAAGTGGGACCTTTAGGGCCCATAGTTGATTAGGGGTGGATGCAGACAGAAAGCTACATGTGCTGCAATAAACCTTCTGCATTATCAAGCAGGTAGAGAGAACAGACAGTTCAGGAGAACCTCTGTGAGGCTGCTCCTGCTCAGATGGATCGGTACCTCCCTCTAAAACTGAGTGTGGAGCAGACCTGAGGACAGACCAGGCTGAAGTAGCCATCTGCTGAAGCCGACTGCTGGGGGCAGGCCACCAGGATCCGAGCAACTGCATCACTTCTTCTCCAGTCCGAGTCGCCCCCTGCAGGAGGAGAACAGAGGTTCAGTCAGGAAAACCAATCAGCCAGAACCCTTGAAGGTTTTTCACTTTACTGTAATTCTTCACACTTTCCAATGATCTGCCCAGTGATTAAAGCAAAAAAAATCCTTAGCCTGAACTTAGAGAGGAAAGCACACACCCTTATTTTGAACTTGCATACACAGTCAGTTATTGACGCCGGTACATCAGCTGTAGCGGTAGCTTAGGGTGACCAGACCTCCTCTTTTTCCCCTTTTAGTCCAGGGGAAATTTCAAAATTGTCCGGGATCTTGGTTGACTATAGTGCAGCACGTAGTCTAACCGTAAGGGGTGGACCTGTTCTTTTGGTTTACTTTGCATGTTTTCTAAGCCATAACAAGGCTTTGTTGGGCCACTCTATAAATCTTAGAACTCAACACTAATCCAGACATTTTGAATAGAAAAAGCATGCTGTATCAGAGGCAAAACGTCTTTAAACTTAGAAGGCCCAGTTCAGTTTGGGAAGGAAAATACTGAATTGTTGATGAGCTCCTGGTCTGTCAGGGATCATGATTGACAGATGAAGAACAACAGAAAACTTCTTCCTGACCTTTCAGGGTTTTGTCATCAGCCTTGCATACAGGCATATTTTGGACAAAATCACGAATACAGATAGTCTGCTATGACCTAAATCAGCCGAGGCCTAAAGGGCTGGTTCTCCTCCAGCAGCAGTGTGTTGCAGTGAGCTTGTCACAGGTAATTTTAATATATGCCCAGTATTGAAGCGTGGTCTGCACAATGTTATTCCACGCCACAACGCAAGAGGGCCAATCAGGAACTAGCTGTGGGTCTAGATACAGCCGAGGCGGTGAGGGAGTGGGGGCAAGTTTGTGCGACAATGGAGGGACATGAGGGTGAAAAAGAGCGGGGATCCAGGTGGAAAAAGGGTCCCAGCGTGCTCACGCATCTCGCACTTCTAGCTGGTCCGTGTTCACGAGTCATTTTCCACAATGGTGGTCATACTAACAAAGCAAGCCGGTAAGGTACCAAACAGGAAATACGCATAGTGTAGAGCGGATGTAGATTTGACCAATCAGAGGCCTGCTGTCTGCGGTCACCTACAATTTGGGAGAGGTGCACCAGAGTGCACTGCGACATACACACGGATGCCATGGTTTCTGAGTATAAATCAGCCTTAAAGGGGTCATAGGATGCAAAACTGAGTCTACATTGTCACGAATAACGATAGTTCAGTGGGTGAAATTGATGTATAGAAAGGTTCAAACCTCATCAACACCTCCTAGCTCTCCAAATCTCACAATTTTAAACTTCCACCATAAAACGACAAATTGACGTAAACTCTGGGATGTTGCCTTATTTGGTTCTAGCCTGTACTTTTGTCACGGCCTAAAATTGACATACAGTAAATGCAGTGTTCCAGGCTGCACAGAGAAAGGGGAACCTTTTCACAGTCTTCCCAAGGATCTGAAGACTCGCTTTAAGCATTTTACCAAAGACAGCTTTCAAAATCTTGGACAGTTCAAAGCATGCTTTGCTAAACTTCTTTTACTGAAACAAGGGGCTGTTCCGACCATAAGGCCATCACAACCACAAGCTGTGAGTGTGACTGTTACTAATCTGTTGATAGCAATGCTAGCATATCTATGTTGACCTGATTTGGGTTTCTGAAAAGAAGGACTGCTAGGCCGCCTAATGGACCGGACCGGGCATTCTAACCGAGCCGTGAGCTCGGGGGCTGGTCTGGGAACCCCAGGGGACGAAGCGACCGAACCTGTCCCGGTGACGGTAGCCCAGACACCTGTGGCCCCATGCTTCCCCCTGCCTGCTTTACTGGGCAGGCAGGGGGAAGCATGGGGCAACCAGTGTCCAGGCTACAGTCACCAGGACAGGTTCAGTCGCTTCGTCCCCCGCCCCGACCAGCCCCGGAGCTCATAGCTCGGTTCTCTTTCACTGTAGTTGACCAAAATCCCAGATTTTGAAATTTCCCCCAGACATGTTTTTAGGTACGACAAGTAGGACATGCCCGGGAAAAAGAGGACCTCTGGTCACCCTACCATATCTACAATTTGATGTCTCAGTGAGTGAGTGCTTGTTGCTATGATGCATCTTTGCTCAGTAGCT